CCCAAAAGAAACAGGTGAATGGTATATGTCAACTGTGATTGGTGGGGAAAAAACTCACTGCTGCCATGGTAAAAGCACATCGGTATATGGAAGGTATGAACAGGAGCCAGGAGCTGTGTAGTTTTGTGATAAAGTAATACACCTTATATGGAGGTGTGCCTTTAACCTCCTTGGCGGTATTCCCGAATGTCCCCTGCAGCGTCCCCGGCCATCTCCTCCGGCCGATGCCGGCATCCGGCTTCCATGTTCCGGTGATGTCGGGACGTACAGGCGCCGCTGGCGGCGGGATATTTGAAAATTTTAAAAAAAATGTCATTTAAAAAAAAAAAAAAAAAATTTTTTAAATAGTAAAACATTGTTGTTTCATCCCATTTCACATTCATTTTGTCCCGAGTGCTTTGTCCGGCGCCCTGCCTGCATTTTGTCTGTTCTTTCTGCCTGGAAACTGAGAAGCGTCCAAAAAGCGTCCCTTTACGTCAAAAGCGGTTTTAGACCGGCTAGAGAACAGCGATAGTAAATCAGAACCACTTGCAGAATTGAGTGATAATGATTCGTGGGGGAAATTTTCCTAAAAATTACAGCCTACAATAAAAAACAATTTCTATGCGAAAAAATGGTACCGCTTTCAGCATCAAAAATCGGAAAGAATCATACCGCCAGGGAGGTAATAATTCATATGGTAAAAAATAGATACCAGCCTGTGCCTTTAACCACTTCCCGACCGGCCGTTGTATATAAACGGCCGGACGGTGGCACTGCAGGGTCGGGTGGCCGTCTATAAACGGCCTCCCCGCACCCTGCTTGTGCGCGCTCCCTGGGAGCGCGCAGCACCGCGATCCGGTGCCCGCTGTGTCCTCTGGACACAGTGAAACACCGATCGTCGGACGGGACCTCTGTACGAGGTCCCGATCATGTGATCACTGATTGGCCAATCAGTGATCACATGCAAAGTAGTAAGCAAGATGTCACTTGTGACATCATTGCTTACTACGTGTGAAATCTGTGAATGATCACAGAGGTCACATGGTACAAGCCTATTCACAACAGGCTTGTACCATGTGACAAGCTGTGACCAATCACAGCTCACTCAGTACTTCTCAATGAGTGCAAGAATGCACACAGAGAGAAAGAGAAATGATTGCTTTTACATCCTATATGGGTGTAAAAGCAATGTGTAAAAAAAAAAAAAAAAAAATCTTCATCACCCCCTCACAAGTAGTACAGTGTCACCATGGTGACACTGTACTGCTAGGGTGACAGTATGTAAAAAAAATAAAAAATAATAATATAAAAAAATAAAATAAAAATGTAAAAAAAAATGTTTAAAAATTATAATTTTTGTTATAAACTAATTTGGATTTTTTTTTTTACTAAAAAGATAACGGAATAAATTTTGGCAAAGATTTATGATGAAATATTATTTATTTGCAAAATTAAAAAAAAAACACTTTTTTTTTCAAAATTTTTGGACTTTTTCATTTACATAGCAAAAAAAAATAAAAATCCCAGCGGTGAGGGGGGGGGGGTGGGGGGGGGGGTGGGGGGGGGGGGTGGGGGGGGGGGGGGGTGGAAAATACCACCAAAATAAAGCTTTATCTGTTTCAAAAAAATGGTAAAAAATTCATTTGGGTACAGCGTTGCATGACCGCGTAATTGTCATTCAAAGCGTGATAGCGCTGAAAGCTGAAAATTGCCCTGGTCAGGAAGGGGGTAAAAGTGTCCGGTCTTGAAGTGGTTAAGAAGCCAGGTTCCAAGATGGATGGCCCGTCTGCTCAGAGGGAAGCAGTAGACAGTAGAATGCCTGTCAGTGCAGGGACCACGTGTATCCGATGTCCCAGCATCCCGGGTGATGTCACCACGATGTGGAGAGATGGAGAGGGGGAACTCTCGCTGGAGCCGCAACTTTAGAAGAAAGAGGTTGCCGGGACAACATGTTTTGCGCACATACGCTTTATCAAGTCTGTGAAAAGTCCGGCAATCGGCCATTTTATAGGAGACCTGCACGGCAGAAGGGGCCGGCTAATGAATTATGAAAGGCACACCTCCATATAATGTGTATTACTTTATCACAAACTACACAGCGCCTGGTTCCTGTTCATAGTCCCACAAGGCAGAACAGAACAAGACCAGTGCCATGATGGTTGGTATGACTTTGACAATTTGTGGTGTGCATGAAAATCTCACAAGTCTGTTTGTATAAAGTCCCTCTATACAGGCAGGTTTCATGCAGTGCTGCATTAGAGGATACAACATGTCTCCGTTTTGCAGTGTTTTTGCAGTGAAGTGAATGGCTTCTCTGAAGATCCCTCTAATTTCCCAGGAGTTATTCCAAAAATTGCCATTTCTTTTCATCTGAGGTTTCAGATGCACTGAAATCCATGAAAAGTTTAATTTGAAATGATTGTAAGGCAGGTAGAGATTCATAGATGCCAACATTTAACAAAGAAACTCTATCTCCCAACTTACTACATTTCTTTTTTTCTTTTCAAAAGCTGAACGTTTATCAGAAGATAAGGAGTATAATGAACTTAGGAATCGCCTCCGGACGTACTTCGGAATACGGAAATGCTTTATGTTTGATGCTCCAACTGACTCCAGGAAACAACTTACAAAACTAGAACAACTATCTGATGATGCACTCGATGAGGCTTTTGTGGCTCAGAGCACCTTGTTCTGTGACTATATCTTCAAGAATGCTAAAGTTAAGAGTGTTGACATCATTGCTAACATCAATGGACCCCGTAAGTTCATCTAATGTTGTATAGCTTTCATGTAATGTTTGCATGCTTCTTTAACAAATATCTTACAAAGTACGTGAATCCGACTGAACAGTATAATGCAGCCACAGAATTACATTGCTGCTTCCTTTATTTCTGAAGCTTAGCAAACAAAAAACAAGTCACTGTGTATAACAGGATGCCTGTACAGAGAAAAGGTCATCCAGTGCCCATGGTGAAAATGTGAAACTGTGTCCCCCTCCTCTGCAATGTGCAGCATGCATTACCAGCACCTGATGTGTGGGCCTGATCATCATACCCATGCACAGAGTGCAGGGGTCAGTAGTATGTTATGTACAGAGTGCTGAGGTCAAGTGTATACAATGTACAGAGTGTAGAAGTCAGGTGTATACAATGTACAGAGTGTAGAAGTCAGGTGTATGTAATGTACAGAGTGCAGAAGTCAGGTGTATACAATGTACAGAGTGCAGAAGTCAGGTGTATGTAATGTACAGAGTGTAGAAGTCAGGTGTATGTAATGTACAGAGTGTAGAAGTCAGGTGTGTAATGTACAATGTACAGAGTGTAGAAGTCAGAAGTCAGTATGTAATGTACAGAGTGTAGAAGTCAGGTGTATGTAATGTACAGAGTGTAGAAGTCAGGTGTATGTAATGTACAGAGTACAGAGTGTAGAAGTCAGGAGTATGTAATGTACAGAGTGTAGAAGTCAGGTGTATACAGGTGTATGTAATGTACAGAGTGTAGAAGTCAGGAGTATGTAATGTACAGAGTGTGTAGAAGTCAGGAGTATGTAATGTATACATGAGAGTGTAGAAGTCAGGTGTATGTAATGTACAGAGTGTAGAAGTCAGGTGTATACAATGTACAGAGAGTGCAGAAGTCAGGTGGTGTAGAACAGGTGTATGTATGTACAGAGTGTAGAAGTCAGTTATGTACAGAGTGTGTCAGGTGTATGTAATGTACAGAGTGGAGTATGTATGTAATGTACAGAGTGTAGAAGTCAGTAATGTCAGATGTAGAAGTCATATGTAATGTACAGAGTGTAGAAGTCAGGAGTATGTAATGTACAGAGTGTAGAAGTCAGGAGTATGTAATGTACAGAGTGTAGAAGTCAGGTGTATGTAATGTACAGAGTGTAGAAGTCAGGAGTATGTAATGTAATGTACAGAGTGTAGAAGTCAGGTGTATGTAATGTACAGAGTGTAGAAGTCAGGTGTATGTAATGTACAGAGTGTAGAAGTCAGGTGTATGTAATGTACAGAGTGTAGAAGTCAGGAGTATGTAATGTACAGAGTGTAGAAGTCAGGTGTATGTAATGTACAGAGTGTAGAGTGTAGTCAGGTGTATACAATGTACAGAGTGCAGAAGTCAGGAGTATGTAATGTACAGAGTGCAGAAGTCAGGAGTATGTAATGTACAGAGTGTAGAAGTCAGGTGTATGTAATGTACAGAGTGTAGAAGTCAGGAGTATGTAATGTACAGAGTGTAGAAGTCAGGAGTATGTAATGTACAGAGTGTAGAAGTCAGGTGTATGTAATGTACAGAGTGCAGAGATCAGGAGAAAAAAAAAAAGTAACTTGCAGCCCAAAGAGTATCGTGGTCAGGAGTATATACACCAATTAGCCAGACATTATGGATACTGACAGGTTAAGTGAATAACATTGATTATCTTATTACAATGGCACCTGGGATATATTATACAAAGTCATTGGGATATATTAGGCAGCAAGTAAACATTTTGTCCTGCTCCTCGCCTACAGGGTACTTATACCCCCTTCCTGCCCAGGCCAATTTCCAGCTTTCAGAGCTGTCGCACTTTGAATGACAATTGCGCGGTCATGCAACACTGTGCCCATATGAAATTTTTATCATTTTTTTTTGTGACGGATAGAGCTTAATTTTGGTGGTATTTAATCAACTCTGGGTTTTTTATTTTTTCTTAAGCAAACCAAAAACCACTGAAAATTTTGAAAAAAAAAGTTTTTTAAAATGTTTTTAAATGTTGTAAAGAAGTGATGTTTCTCCTTCACTGATATGCGCTAATGAGGCTGCAGTGATGGGCACTGATAGGCTGCAATGATGGACTCTGATAGGTGGCACTGATGGGCACTGATGAGGAGGCACTGGAAGGTGGCACTGATGGGCATTGACAGACATCACTGATGGGCACTGATAGGCAGCACTGATAGGCGCCACTGACTGGCACTGATAAGCGGCACTGATGCGCACTGATAGGCAGCACTGATGCGCACTGATAGGCAGCACTGACTGGCACTGATAGGTGGCACTGATTGGCAGCACTGATAGGTGGCACTGATTGGCATTGATAGGTGGCACTGACTGGCACTGATGGGTGACATTGAAAGGCAGCTCAGATGGGCACTGATATGTGGCATTGATGTGGCACTGATGGGCACTGGCACGAAGCACTGATGAGCACTGATACAAGGCACTGATGAACACTGACAGGTGGCACTGCTGGGGTACACTGATGATCAGTGCACATGTCCCCTCTGCGGAAAGCCGATTACCGGCTCTCCTCTCCTCTGTCAGTGTGACAGCTCGTGAGGAGAGAAATGCCGATAACCGGCATTTCCCTGTTTACATGTGGTCAGCTGTGATTGGACACAGCTGATCACATGACCAAGCCGACATCTTCGGCTCTTTCCATGATCGGTGATCTGCTGTGTCCGCGCATGCGCGGTGAGAATGGGAGGACGTCATATGACATCCTCCCAGAATGAGAGAACCGCCTTGCGTCCGTCATATATTGCTATATGGCAAGCGGGAGGTGGTTAAAGAAGAAAAATGGGCAAGCGTAAGGATTTGAGCAACTTTGACAAGGGCCAAATTGTAATGTCTAGACGACTGGGTCAGAGCAACCCCAAAACTGCAGCTCTTGTGGGATGTTTCTGGTCTGCAGTGGTCAGGACCGACCAAAAGTGATCCAAGGCAGGAAAACTGGCAAACTGGGAACAGCGTTATGAGCAGCCAAGTCTCACTGATGCGCGTGAGGAAGCGAAGGCTGGCCTGCAAAGTCCAATCCAATAGAAGACATACTTTAGCTCATACTAGTTCTGAAGGGGGCAGCAATATTGGCTTTGATAGAAAGGTGTCAGAACACTCAGTGCATCGCAGTCTGTTGTGTATGGGGTTGTGTAGCTGTAGACCAGTCTGGGTGCCCATGCTGACCCGTGTCCACAGCCAAAAGTGCCTACATTGGACACGTCAGCATCAGAACTGCACCACAGAGCAATGAAAGAAGGTGGCCTGGTCTGATGAATCACGTTTTCTTTTACATCGTGTGGATGGTTGGGTGCCATCCACATTTACATTTATAAATAAATATATAAATACATTTATAAACTGAATAAACTATCTTAAAGGAGCAAGTGCTGGTAAAAACAATTTAGGAAATTACTTTGTTTCTTTGGTATAAGAAGTCAATGACAGGCACAATGTAAATGAATATGATATATGCTTACCTGTCCAGTGGGGCAGCTAAGGAACCCTGTGCTCCCTGCATGAGCCATGTACTGCCTATGTTGCAATTATTGGTGTGTTACTTAATTGTGACTCTTTAGGTGTTGTCACTATTCTTACTGATTTTTCTGCCACTCCTGTGCTTTAATTACATGAAAAATATGCGCTTGTTAACCTCAGACATGTAATATTAACAAAGCATATCTCTCTATAGTGTCTGCTTATGTCAATCCAGAGTACTATGTGTCATTTCTGTCTGCTGCCTCTTTGCCCAGGCATCAGCATAAGTCACTTCTGACAAGTTTTACTGACACCAAGAGAAAAATGATGACTGGGAGGGAGCTCCAGCTGATTGACAGCCTCAGCTCTGTTCCTGTGTGCTGTGTGAAGGGAGTGGGGGTGTCCCTTCCCTCCAATCAGCTCTCAGAACTCTCCTCACTGATCTCGGCAGTGTGTAACTTCAGCTCTCCACCCCCTTTTTTCTGAACTCTCAGACATGCTTTATAATTCAGCATTTTGAACACTTTGAACAGATATACAGTTGCAAGAAAAAGTATGTGAACCCCTTGGGATTACGTGGAGTTTTACATGAATTGGGCATAAAATGTGCTCTGAAAGTCATCTAAGTCACAACAATAGAAGAACACAGTCTGTTGAACATAATACTACACAAACATTAGATGTTGCCATGGTTTAATTGCACATAACATGTGAACATTCACAGTGCAGGGAGGAAAAAGTATGTGACCTTTGGCCCTAGCTTTTGACTTCTCCCAGAGCTAATTGGAGCCAGGAGGGAGCACAACCTTGACTCCAATCAGTGTGATGATATTGGATGCTCTCTTGCTGACAATCGGGTTGAGGTCAGGACTCTGACTGCCCTGAAGGCGTATTCTGTGCTGTTGCAGCCATTGTTTTAAAAAATGACTTGTTACTGTTTCAAGAAGCACTGTCTGTTGTGAACCATGCCTCTGCAGAAAAGAGCTCTCAGAAGACCTACGATTTGTTGTGACTTAGATGACCCATTCACAACAACCAGACAAGTGAAGGACACTCTCCAGGAGGTGGGTTCACTGTCAAAGTCTCCACAATCAAGAGAAGATCTGTCAGTATACAGAGTGCTGTGGAACATCCAGGTGCTCTTTTTCAAACTTCAAAACGTGCTGCAATCTTCTTTTTGGACAGCAATGGCTTCCTCCGTGGTGTCCTCCATGTACTCCATTCTTGTTTAATGTTTTCCTTATTGTAGATGTGTCAACAAAAATGTTAGCATGTGCCAGAGATTTCTGTAGGTCTTTAGCTGCACACTCTGGGATTTTCTTCATTAATCATGCAGCATATTTATGATACCTGTGCTCTTGCAGTCATTTTTACAGGACGACCACGCCTAAATCAGTCACTTAGACAGTCTGTCTTACACAGTGCAGCACATTCACCATGCTTTTTAAAGGGTAACCCTTTCCAGCTTTTTTTTTATCTTACAGAAATTTTTTTTTAACATCATGAAACAGTAAACCCAAAACATTGTGCACAGCTTCCCCACACCCTCACTCCTGGCTCCATTAGCCTGGGAGAAGTCATTAAGCTAGGGCCTCCTGCTTTGCACTGTGAATGTTTACATGCATGTGCAATTAAACCCACATCTAATGTTTTTGTGTAGTATTATGTATTCAGCAGACTGTGTTCTTCTATGTGACTTAGATGACGTTATGAGCACATTTTACCCACCATGCAAAACTCCATTTCGGGTTCACTAGACCTCTGAAGGTATTCTGTGTATTTGTTTCATCTCTGGCACTGAAGTCAGCTCACTTCACAGTAGCAGATCCTTTAATGTTCTGTAAGAAATTGCAAGGTGAAGAGCCAAAACCATGGATGAGACTAATATTTTTATAACACATATACCCACAGATGCTTGATTGCTTAGATTCATATATATTTGACACAGACACAATTTTACCTGGTTAGCAAAACCAATATAGTTGTTTATGAATCCATGGGTGGACAAACACACACAGAGTTTAAACACACACATGTACATTCAAAGAAAACCTCCATTCAACCTCCCATAGCTGTCTGATTATGCCACACCCCCTTTTTGTGCTCAAAGCGGTACAAAAGCTGTTTTTGCATGGAAATATGTTTTTTTTTTTTATTGTATGGCTGGAGTTGATTCTAATTTTTAGGAATAACTGCACTGAAATCTGTCCAAACAAGAGCTAGTAAACAGTCCCAGGTCATGTAAGGCTTTAAAAAGGAAACAAATCCATCAGAGAGATCGCATAAATTAGGAGTGGCCAAATCAATTTGGTACATTTCTCAGTCAAAGAAAAATGCACTGGTGAGCTTAAGGGCAATACATCCACGGAAGACAACAGTGGTGGGTGATCCTCTCTATAAAAAAAATTCACAACAAAGACAAGTGAAGGACACTCTCCAGGAGGTGGGCATATCACTGTCAAAGTCTACAATCAAGAGAAGACTTCACTGAGCAAATACAGAGGGTTCACCACAAGGTTCATCATAAATATTGAGGAATATTTATGATACCATGGGCTAAATTCACTTACACTACACAGTGCAGCCATTCACCATGCATTTAAAGGGTTGGGTTTTTTTTTTATCTTACAGAAATTTTTTTTTAAAATGAACTAACATTGTGCACCTTCCCCACACCCTTCCACACCTTCCTGGTCCCTGCTTTACTTGAGCAGGCCCATATGTACAGTATATGCATATACTGCCATTATGACCCACCCACCATAACATTTTCGAGGCACTAGACCTCTGAAGGTATTCTGTGGTATCTGGCACCAAGCTTTCAGTAGCAGATCCTTTATGTTCTGTAAGTTGCAAGGTGGAGCCTCCATGGATGAGACTAATTTTTACAACACATCCCACAGATGCTTGATTGCTACATAGATTCATAGTTAGTCTGGTTGAAAAAAGACACCAATCCACCTAGTTTAACCCATAGAGAAAAAAACACACACATAAACACACAAATAGAAAACCTCCATTCAACCTCCCATAGCTGTCTGATTATGTCCATATTTCTGTGCTCAAAGCGGTACATTTTTTTGCATGGAAATATGTATTTTTTTTATTGTAGGCTTGTAATTTTTAGGAATAACTCACTGAAATCTGTCCAAACAAGAGTCTAGTGAACATCCCGGGTATGTTAAAATTTGAAACACAAAATCATAAATTATAATTTAATAAATTAGCATAAAAAATAATAATATAATAATAAATGTAATTCAATAATATAATCAAACCAAAACACTGAAATGTGAAATAGAGCGCCAAGTTCGCACATCGCTGAGCAAAGTCGCAAAATCGTTTTCAGTGTCTGATGAGGAATTTCCCCCACGAATCATTATCACTCAATTCTGCCAAGTGGCTTTTTGATTTACTATCGCTGTTCTCTAGCCGGTCTAAAACCGCTTTTGACGTAAAGGGACCTTTTGGATGTGGATTTCTCAGTTTCCAGGCATAAGAACAGTAAAAATGCAGGCAGGGCGCCGGACAAAGCACTCGGGACAAAATGTATGTGAAATGGTTTGATACAGGAATGTTATACGATGTGATTTTAGTGTATTGAGTGAATGTCACAATATGTCATTTTCACATTTCCCGCCAGTTCCGTCCCCCATACGTCCCGACGCTCGCAGGGGACGGAACCCAGATGACAGATGCCGGCATCCGCCGGAGTACATTATCGGGGACACTGCAGGGGGGACATCGCGGGAGCGCAGGACAAGGTAAGTGAAGAACAGATGCTGGCGCAGCGCCGCATGGCAAGCCCCGAGTGTAGCTCAGGGTTACCGCTTGTGGTGCTGCAACTTTACCCCGAGCTACACTCGGGAATACCGCCAGAGGGGTTAAACAATCCAATAGCCACAGTTGATCCAGAGGAAGGAAAAATAAAAAATGAAGCACGATCCAATTTGCTCCAATAGGCGGAAAAAAATATCCTTCCTGATTGGATATTCCGTGGATCAACTTTACCTATAAATATTAGTATCCAGTTATATTTTGTGCATTTAGAAAAGAATCCAGGGCTTTCTTAAAACTATCTACTGAGCTGGTCAGAACAAACTCTTGAGGAAGTCTATTCCACGTGTTCTTACTGTGAAGAAAACTTTCCATATTTGGAGATTAAATCTTTTTTCCTCCAGATGTAAAGCGTGCCC